ATCAACGCAATTTCAAGTTTTGAACAACTCGACTTCAAGATCTACATATCTACATGTGCTGATGTTTCCGTTTATCAACGTTATATTTTAAGATCTATGAAAGAACTCAGCCAACAGATGTTTCCGCATATAAAAGCTATCTTCAAGTTTTGTACACCAAAAAACTTTTCAAATATATATAAATTTTCGCGGCTACTTAGCGAAGTTAAGCGCTTTATTGTGCTGGATGCACTCATTGCATCGATAACCAATCATTTTTGCCAACAATGCATTGTATTCCGTCTCCTTTGCTTAAAAGTTTTCCTTATTGAAAGAACAGATGGAACGACAAAATATGATTGTAAACTAGACAATCATATTACATACATGCTGTGATCCAAGGGATTGGGTTGAAAGCACATTTTTTTTATTCATCACTAGTTTTAGGAAAATTATTCATCCATTTTTAGAAGGTAATCGGACTTATTTAAAATAACAATACCATTTCCTTTATCAGATTTTATTATCACAGTGTTCTCATTTTTACTTATTTTCCAACAGCATCAAAATCCCCCTTTATTAGGCCTAGATGGCCAGGCGGTTAGGGCGCTCGACTCACAATCTGCGGGTCGCGGGTTCGAATCTCCGTTCTACCAAACATGCACATCCTTTAGGCCGTGGGGAGGGGGGGGGGTATAATGGGATGGTCAGTTCCACTATTCGTTGGTAAGAAAGTAGCCCAAAACTAGCTGTCCGGACTTGTGAATATCATACAATACTCAAAACAACAGAACTCCCCCGTGTCCAGAACAAAACCATATTTAGCATACATTCTTACTTTTAAAAGACGAATAAAGTTTTGTTTATCCTCCGGACTTGTCAATATCATACAATACTCAAAACAACAGAACTCCCCCGTGTCCAGAACAAAACCATATTTAGCATACATTCTTACTTTTAAAAGACGAATAAAGTTTTGTTTATCCTCCGGACTTCCGCCTCTCTGTCCAGGGAACTCCCAGTCAAGGTCCACGCCATCAAATCCGTACTTGAGTACAAACTGGACTATGTTTTTAACAAACTTGTTTCGTCTCCACTTCCAGGCCACCATATTCGAGAATTTTAGTGATCCGTCAGCATAGCCGCCGACTGCTATTAAAGTTTTAAGACTCTCGCTTTTGTTCTTCAGGTCGTTAAATCGCTTGAAATTTCCTATAAGAAAGGTGCAAAAAAAACAACAAAGTATCATCACAGGAGTATACTGGTCCCTTCAGTTCTAAATAACAATTGTTAAATTAAGGATTAAACGTTAACGAATTGAGCGTAAACATGAATAAATAGTATGACAAAACATATAGCGCAATGTTTGATATTTCATAACGTATTTTACATTTATACTGCAGTCTGTCCTATTTCGTGATCAGTGAAACCTCTAAGATTGTATTTTTCAAGATAGGTTTTTTGAAGATTGTTTAAAGTTTGTTAGAACATATGTTAGTACATCCATAAATCACGATGTCTACTGAAAGGACGAAGTTTTTGGTTAATTTTTAAAAGTACATAATTAACCTTTTAGTTACTGTAGTTTGTAATTTTCTCTTATTTTGTATAATTGTAAAGAATCGTTACAATCATTTCATTAACCCGATTGTTATTGAAGTTTTAATACTGTTTATATTTCCATAGCGGAGGAGATACAGTTTTCGAGTATTTCATTGAATTCAATCTTTTTAAACATATATTAAGATATATGAATGAAGCAATGTTTTAATTTTATGAAAACTAATTAAAAGTTAAAATAACAGCAAATTTTTATTCGAGTAAGTATAACGTTTCAGCCCACAGTATCGAGTCATCATCAGGTAATAATTACAGTATCGAGTCATCATCAGGTAATAATTACATTAAAAAAAGCAGCAGAGCAGTTGAATTCAACTACTACCTTATGATGACTCGATATTGTAGGTATTATGTGATGATGACTCGATATTATAGATATAAACGTTATAATTGTTAAGATCAAAACTTGCTTATTGTAAAAGTCGCTGTTAATGTCATTTTGAATTAATCATTGAATTAATTAGATACTTCACTAAAACTTATATAAAACTTTAGTTTTATTCTTCTGATTGGACCTTGTCCAGGTTTACTGATGATATGTGGAATTCTTCGAAATCTGCATAACTCAGTGACAAGTGGTAAGTCGAAATAAACTCGGCAACAAATTCATTTTTAGTGAAATAATTTCTTTTGAATTCACTAAACAAATAATGACATCGGAATGAACCAACTAAAAACAATATTATGATTTTACTCCAGTAGTCCTTAAGCAGTTACTGTCATTGCATATCAATGTAATTTCATATTGAAGGCTAAAGAACAAGCATTTGATAATTTATTTAAAGATTTTCAAACTTTCTGAATATATACACAGTGAAATTTAGTTGGGTGTAAATGTAGGAACCAAGTAAGACTAATAATGAAACTTATAGTTATTGACTTTAATACTGGTTTTAACAGAATAGATGCAGGCATGATCTAGTATTAGCATGCCAGACTGCAGATTGTGGGTCTAAGGTTCGCGTGCGATACCTCAAAGCGCTCTTCTACTTTCAGCTGTGGTGCGTTCAAGGAGTAACAGTTTATCTCCTTATTCGGTTCCAAGCCCATTTAGCAGCAGGTGCTGCTGATTGGTTGTCTTCTCTTCTGGTCAGTGTTTCCAGATAAGAGATTTCTGATCAGGCACATGTATGCATAAAGTGGAATTCAGGTTGAATATGCCAATACCAATCGACGAAAGAAAAAATCCTTATTTTTCTGTCGGTATTCAGCCTGACATGGCTTGGTGTTTATTGCGCTTGAATCGCTCGTGGGATCAAATGATGGCGCAGAACACTTAAGCCCTTTTTAACCGAGATGACGTTATAATTTCAAGCCTACTATTTGTTGGGAAAGAATAGCCCAAGAGTTGGCGATGGGTTATGCTGGGCGATTGCCTTCTCTGAGGTCAGCAGATCAAAATTAGAGAAAACAGCAAACATCTTCCTAGCTTTACTATAAAACATTGTTTGTAGTATATGTATGATACAAGAAAAACATTTATTTTGAAGCTATTTCACTAAATATGCATTCATTTTTAACGACATTAATGTCAGGTGTATGTTTTTAGAATATATACCAGTCACTACTGTTGTTAAAACAGATTTGGAATTTTGGTATTAAACAGTTATTAAATATTGAAATGAAACATAAAAAATATGGTGTTTAAATCCTTTAAATGTCAGCTTGAAAACGTTTATTTGATTCTCAAACAGAAGGGCAGTAGATTTGATTATGTTCATTTATATGACTGGATCTGTACACAAAATAATAGCTGGTTGTTTAAATGCAGGAAGAAAAAGTTGAATAATTAAACCAACTGACATTGTTTTAACAGTTTTATTAATAAGCCAGCTGAAGTTATATGTATCTATAAGTTAGATGTAAATGAAGAAAAAAAATGTTGTTACTATGCTTGTAGTTTTTCATACCATCTGCTGAACGTAAATTTGAAAATTACTCGATATCCTTCGAATGTTTATTACAAATGTGTCTAGGCAACATATCTTTAGTGGTAGTAATGAATTAAATGATAATGTTAAAACTCATGTTAGTGACGTAGGTTTATTGGTTTTAAATGACAATACTTTTAAATATTATAAAATAATAAAGGGGATTGGTTTGAATTTCGCGCAAAGCTACACGAGGGCTAGCTGTCCCTAATTTAGTAGTGAAAGACTAGAGGAAAGGCCATATTTAGCATACATTCTTACTTTTAAAAGACGAATAAAGTTTTGTTTATCCCCCGGACTTGTGAATATTATACAATACTCAAAACTACAGAACTCCCCCGTGTCCAGAACTAAAACCATATTTAGCATACATTCTTACTTTTAAAAGACGAATAAAGTTTTGTTTATCCTTGTGAATATCATACAATACTCAAAACAACAGAACTCCCCTGTGTCCAGAACAAAAACCCCGGAGGATAAACAAAACTTTATTCGTCTTTTAAAAGTAAGAATGTATGCTAAATATGGTTTTGTTCTGGACACGTGGGAGTTCTGTAGTTTTGAGTGTTGTATGATATTGACAAGTCCGGGGGATAAGCAAAACTTTATTCGTCTTTTAAAAGTAAGAATGTATGCTAAATATGGTTTTGTTCTGGACACGGGGGAGTTCTGTAGTTTTGAGAATTGTATAATATTCACAAGTCCGGGGGATAAACAAAACTTTATTCGTCTTTTAAAAGTAAGAATGTATGCTAAATATGGTTTTGTTCTGGACACGGGGGAGTTCTGTAGTTTTGAGTATTGTATGATATTCACAAGTCCGGAGAATAAACAAAACTTTATGCGTCTTTTAAAAGTAAGAATGTATGCTAAATATGGTTTTGTTCTGGACACGGGGGAGTTCTGTAGTTTTGAGTATTGTATGATATTCACAAGTTCGGGGGATAAACAAAACTTTATTCGTCTTTTAAAAGTAAGAATGTATGCTAAATATGGTTTTGTTCTGGACACGTGGGAGTTCTGTAGTTTTGAGTGTTGTATGATATTGACAAGTTCGGGGGATAAACAAAACTTTATTCGTCTTTTAAAAGTAAGAATGTATGCTAAATATGGTTTTGTTCTGGACACGTGGGAGTT